TCGGAGCAGGAAGTTGTTGGTTTTGTAGAGAATGGGATCGTTAAATTTTGTTAAAATGGGATCGGTGAGGCAATGATGAACACTTTCGATGTTTACAGAGAATGAGGAGGGGGATAACATAGGGGGAGCGGAGGGTAATTGGGGAGACAGCATACGCATGACTCATGTGACATTAACGATTTATTAAGTTTCGTTCAAAAGGTTGTGCGGCCAAATGGATTGATGTGCGTGAATTTGGCCAGCCCCGAAGTTTTGCGCGGTAAATCATTATAGAATTCCAGTCTTAGCGATAATTGTAATAACAAACATAAGGTACATACAGTTTCATAAGGACTCCACAGTATCTCACAAAAAAGATATTTTTTTGCTTTTTACCCCAAAAAGATATCCAGCTTGCCTGTAAGCCACCTGTGCCGAGGCCTGCTCAAGCAAATGATTTGGCATTCCTTGCGTATCCACTTGCAGGAAGAACGACGTTTTTGCAAAAATGTAATATAAAAATCCAATTTTCCTCCTGCAGAGGATGGAAAAATCAAGTCAAACTATTCCTTACAATTGTCAAATCTAGTAGAGACCACAAAGTCATAGATAGAAAAACTTTAGATTACATTTCACCAAATCTATCTTTTCTACCTAAAATCACGCCTAAACTCTATGGCAATTGATCATCAGTACGTCAAAAATGACTCACTGCTCATCAAAGTTTGCTAAACTTGTATCTCATCTACGACGATCAACGTTGTTCAGTGTTTAAAAATCATAACTTTAGCAGCGTTAGTTAATTTTTCTTGGTCTAAGAAAAAATCAACATCTGAATACAAATGAGTGAGCATTGCAAGTTTTTATCAAAGAGTCTGAAGATGACTGGAGAGCCGCTACCCATTTGTAGTTTGCTTTAAAGCAAAAAAATAATAATAACGGCAGGTTTCTTAATCGGTTTCATAAAACAAAGAAACTTCACTTATTTCACCTCTTCGATGATTGGACCACTTCAACGAAAAGGAATATAGGATAGAAGGCTTAAAAAATATAGATAACTAATGGAATGCATTACAATGTGTGGTGCTATGCATAGTGAGTACTACACAATATGAGTTTTGAGTGAAAATAGATCAATTGTGTCTTCGGTTTCATGTTCATACCAAAATATCAAAAATCCTGACTGAGGTCATCGCTGAATTCCCCTACGCGCGATTATAGATTCCATAGATTTTTGAAGTCACAGCACACTTTTTAATTAAAATCTCAATGGCTGGCATATTCCTGTCTTTATATTTGAAATTCTGACAAATTCGGTGAGGATGCTATACTAAGCAGTGCAGCTAAGCAACATCAATCGAGTTTTTGTATTTAGATCCCAACTGTCCCTTGATCTTGAACCGTATGAGAAGGTTTCAAAGTTGAGTATCTGTAAATTATGGGGCCATAGTAAACATCATTCAGGGGAGATGATATTCCCTGAAGCCTTATGTGAGGTTTCGTCAGGTGAAATGAATTCCGCCCACTTGCAAAGTCACCTGAAATGTGAGCCTCAGCTCAAGTCCGGCAGGGAGATGATCTCCCTGCCGAATCATGGGAGATGATCAGAGCGATGATCTCCCGAAATAATGTGCTACAAGGAATCAATAGAAGATTTTCGTAGGTTACTGCTGAGTAAATTAAGATACACGACATTTCAACATGTCGAACATGTTGAGTGAGGAGCCCACAGTCAGGATTCCGCCAGAGTGCCGAAGTCATGCCAGCGCTACGCCAGCGCCGAGCCAGCGTTTCGATCGATACACGTGTATTTCGTTGGGGCGGGGCCCTGGCTGAGAACTAGGTCAGCTAGCCCCGCTCCAACGAAGTACACGTGTATCGATCGAAACGTTGGCGTGGCTTCGGCACTCAGGCAAAAGCCTCAGGGCCCGGCACAAATGGTTTGGGGTCAAACTGGACTTCATTTTTGAGGTTAGAATCAACGGGGATATCGTTTCTATGAGGTGCTGAGCGGAGCGCCGAAAAAAAAAACGACATACGTGTCGGATTTTACGCGTTGAACGTGTTCTTTCGCAAGCACGCGAATTTCAACGCAAGGCTCAAACAAACAAACCGCTTGTTTACAGCGCACAAACAATCACGTAACACGAAATTGGGCTATGCGTATACAATATTACTCCAAACTATACAATGTAAAAAGTTTCAGAAGTTTATGTCTCCTAATACCCGTTCCCGAATTTGTTCGTTTCTAAACCAACACCAAACCAACTGGGTTCGGAGCATAAATATCGGAGAGTTCACATACGTTTTGAACTTTTCAATTTGGACGATTAGAACGCTCTATCACATAGCGAAGAGAGCAAATCAAACATTGCTTCTCCTATTTTTTGAGCCAAAAATAGTGTAAACCTAGGCAGTGATTGATATCGCGCTGATCACTTGCGGTGTCCTTTGAGCTATGAGGCGAAAAATGCATTGACACATTTTTGAGGCTACAGATCTGGTTGGACTAAAAGGTTAACATTCTGAACATTAAAATGGTACCTTCAATGACGGAGCATCTAATTGACTCAGAATGTTTGTTTCCTTTTTTGTTATATTAGATACTTCAAGTGCGTTTATTTCGCTTTTTATTGCGTGTTCATTGGAATAGGGTTCCCCTACTAACTTGTACGTCAAAAGGGACTTCGTAAAATTTCACGAAGTTATGGAAAACTTCGTTTCCAAAAAACGCTCCAAACCAACTCGTACCGGGTCCCGATCACAGTGCAGGCTGACGATCTTCAACAAGATCTAACAAGTGTGGCCACATCTCCGCCGCTAGTACCAATCACAAAACTTTACATGTTTGGCGAACGCGTTTTAACTTGTGTACTTGCATGGACGTGCACTCAATCATTAAACGTGAATGGTTGAAATTATCAATCAATGGCTCAACTGAGGCAGAGCTGACTCGTCGAAGCCTCAACTGAAGCTTCCCTTAGTTACATTAAATGAGCCGACTTTACTAGGTGCCGTTATCTGACGTGCAGATTTTGTGTCCACCTGTGAACTTTTTCGAATAGCGAATGGCCAAGATTATATGGAGATCATTAACCTATTAGTGATTGCTTGAGCTGCAGTTTACTCACATGATTTGTTAAGACTTCTGGCTGAACGAGGGATTCAACAATAAAACGCACACAATTTTTTTTACATATTCCGCGGAACATATTGCGTTCGGAATTTTCTGGATCCGTGTGCACTGCAAAAGCTTGGCTTTTGAGATTCCGATCATTCATGATAACTTAACTAAAGTTTCTTTGAGATCCACCTTCTTTAACCGAACTTTGAATTGCTTTGAATCTGAAATGCTTGTTCTTAGGCACCTCATGAATACCAAAGACTCAACTTTAGAAGTAGGAAGCTGTAGCAAATACTCTAAACCAAAAACCTGACCACTGCTGAATGCAAAAATCTTCTTTTCATCCAAACTGTCTAGGATTTCGACTACTTTCCCGTCCAGGTGCTGGACCGAATAGCAATGTACCTCGATCTTTCTGCAAACTTACTTCCGTTCTTCCATAATAGTCACACGACAGAGACTTAAAGAGCGGCTCGGCAGAATTTCCTTTTCCAGTTCTTCACCTTTTCGGAGGCTTCTCGCCATGAGGAACCCATATCTGATAATTTCAGCGCATGAAAATGGCAGAAATGCGCATTTCCAAAGCTTTCCAGGTCAGCCTTTAGTGCAGAAGTGGGCGGGACTTGAAACGAAAAAGGCGGGATGCGGATTTTTCTGGCGTATCTTCACTGAATGCGGACCTAAAAAGCTTCGGAAAAAGCGCATTTTTGTTAGTTTTGTGCGTTGAAAAGCCCAGATATGGGTTCCTCATGGCGGAGGCTCCGAAAAGGTGAGAAACTTGAAAGCGAAATTCTGCCGGGCCGCTGCCTTCAACAAAAGCACGTTAGGTCCCAAAAATAAAATCTCTACTCTTGGGAAAACCCAAGAGTAGGAATTCCTACTCTAATTCCTCTTCCTTTTCTATATACGCGATTAAAAAGTCTACTGCTTGTCACCTAAATGATTATGCCATAATACTGAAGAAATTTCTCAATAAGTACCTGAATTCCCCTATGTGAGTATCTCCAAGAAAAGAAAAAACTAAGCACTAAGACCGAGTTCCAGGGTTTTAAAATTTTTCATACAATTACTCGAACTTTTGCTTACATGAACGAGCGTGAAACTTTTACGATTTAAGACGCGATGCAAACAGTAAATTATTTGCCCTTTTAAACGAAGTCAGATAGCTCTAACCCAGTTTCCCGACTTCGTCATTAATCCCAACAAGACTTTTCATTTTTCATCCTCTTGAACAACAAGAGCAGCAGCGAAAAACGGACACACCCTAATCGCCCTCTCACAATTATTGTAAGCCTGTTGAGTCTTTTCACTTCCTCTGCGAGAGAACTTATTCACACTTATTCATCTTGCATCCGCTAAACCGGTGTCTGAGGGGAGCAATGACCATCTCAAGAAGATTTGAAAAGCCTGGACGAGATTTGAAGTTTAGTTTGAAGACTTAAGAACTCGTTTAGAATTTTGTAGCTTAATAGAGGTGCGAAGCTCAAAGTCTTTTAATTGAAGCTTGAAAACTCCTCCCCTTTTAAAGCAGACTAGCAGTTAGTTCTTTCCATAAAAGGGGGACAAACTCTACATTTGCTTGACCGCTGACCTTCACGCTTTGCTTAGAGGACTTGTTGGAGAGAGGCGCACAACACTGAAATTCATAAACATACCATCAAAAAGTTGGTTCTATGTCAAATGCGGCACAAACAACGCTGTTGTTAATAAGAAAGCTGAATTCCGTATGCGGCACCAGTGAGGGCACATAAAGATTGAAAATGTCTAGTTTTTTTTTTCTCTAAAAACTGGAACGAGAAATCTGGGGTAATTTTTCCTCAAAAAGGGAGAGCTTCCGAAAGAAATGGTCTGGTTGCTGTGACATTTAATGGCTTCGACATCTCATGCAAACACCAAATTGCCAAAAATGCTTTATTTCGCTATCTATCACGGCCACCACCGTAAGCGAAGTGCAAAGAAAATAAAAGTGTCGTTGATTTAAGTGGATTTTGACACGTATACTGATGAGCGTGGTGGGCATGGGCAGTAGTTGGCATCGTTTCCTGGAATTCCAGGTTCTCCGGGTGCTCCTGGCTTTCCATCGGCTCCGGGTGGTCCCTGTGGTCCGGGCTGTCCAGCTGGTCCTTGTGGTCCTGGAGCACCATCCTTTCCGGGCTTTCCATTTGGTCCAGGTTTGCCGGCGGGTCCTTTTGGACCAGCTGGTCCAGCTGGACCGGGCTTGCCCTTTCCGCACTGACCGTCTTTTCCGGGGGCACCGGGCGGTCCGTCAGGTCCACACTTTCCGGATGGTCCCTGGTCTCCTGCTGGTCCGGGTGGTCCAGGTGGGCCGTCTTTTCCACACTGTCCGGGTGCTCCGGGCTCTCCTTTGGGTCCAGCTGGTCCAGCTGGTCCGTCGGGTCCGGGTGGTCCAGGGGGTCCGGCTGGGCACTTGATGCAGCTGGAGTCAAGAGGTGGGCAAGTGACTGGAGGGTAGGTGGTTTTGTTGTCCTCTCCAGGTGGTCCGGGAGGTCCGCGAGCTCCTGTAATTTGGAAGAATGATTAGAGACCATTCAAGATGAAATCTATAGTTGATGCTTTCTCTACTGATTGTAAAATTAAGATAGTCAGTAAACTTTGGTTTGTAAATATAAATGAAAGGAAGTAGATATGACGCAACTCTGGTAAGAATCGAGATAGAACATTCAGATATTCAAGTTATTAAGATAAAGATTAGACTTACCAGGCTCTCCAGGTGGTCCCTGAAGTCCAGGAGGTCCAGGTGGGCACACGCGCTTGACGGGTTCGCATTGGCACCAGGCAGGTAGGCCGGAGAAGTCCTGTCTCTTCTGACGGAAGATCGAGTTGAAGGGATTCTGACGCGGCTTCGAGGGTGGGGTGACAGTGATTTGAATGTCCATCATTTCAATCCATGCCGAGTCGGTCTCGACCCGAAACACCGACACACCGTCGAGCACCTCATCGTGAACTTCGTTGATTGTGTTGTACAGGGACGGGATGACGACAAGGCAGGCGACGATGGCCAAAGTTGAGCAGGCCGAAGATACGCCTACGATAAGCTTCTCCTCAAACATGGTTCACTGGTTAGTCGTCCTTAACGGGACGCTTTTATAGGACCCCAATCTCCAAGCCACACCTCCAAGAGAAGCTGGTGCGCGCTGCTGGGCGGGGGGAAGGAGGGGGGGGGCTAGATGGTGCCGCCCAGTAAATGCATGTTTCGAAGACGGCGTAGATGATAAGAGAGACGTGATTAGTGAACACTAGATTAATAACGTAATTTGAGTCATAATTCCCCAAAAAGTCGACGACGTCCGAATTCGGCCAATTCAACGGGACACTTCCTACTTTAATCAAATCACAGTCTTGTCGAGATTTTGATAATGACGAAAACTCTAGTCATAGAAAATTGGAAAAACAGAACTGGCTGCTGCTGGTGTATTACATAACCTGAAATTGGTGTTGGTGACTAAGATTATTTGGCGCTATTCGGCTATCCGGGCCCCAAAAATTTTTTATCATGGATTTCGCTCAAACTTGGCCCAGAGGGGTTATCTGATATGCTGATCGCGAATATCACCTTTTCTCCGCAGGAAATTGCCTCCCTGCAGGGTTACAGTAGGACTACGGTAGAGGGTCAAAATCACGGATTTGCCCGAGACTTCGTCTAGAGGAGTTATTCGGTCCGCTGATGCCAAATATCACATCTGTTTTGAACCATAGCGTCATTTTTTCGGGTTACGTTAGCTACATGGTAACGGGTGTAAAGCGTAGTTCTGCCTGAAACGGGTGTACGACGATTTGGACGATTGTGAAGCTTTGCACACACGACCATCGCCGCGCGCTACACACCCTGCTGCGGCTTTTGCCTAAGCAAAGCACAGGAGACACATTTGCCGATTTGTGATTTTGACCCCCACTGTAAACCTACGTAACCATGCAGGGAGGCGTTATCGTGCGGATGAAGTGTGTGACATTCGTGATCAGCATGTCAGATAACCCCACATTCGCCGATTTGTGATTTTGACCCCTACTGTAAACCTACGTAACCATGCAGGGAGGCGTTTTCGTGCGGAAGAAGTGTGTGACATTCGTGTCAGCATGTCAGATAACCCCTCTGTGCGAAGTTATAGCGGATTTTGAGATTTTGATCCCCTACCGTGCACCTACCGTAACCCTGCAGGGAGGCGTTTTCCTGCGGAGAAAATGTGATATTCGTGATCAGCATGTCAGATAACCCCCTGGACCAAGTTTGAGCGAAATCCATGACCAAAAAATTTTGGGGCCCGGATAGCCGAATAGCGCCATTACTTTCAATCGATACACGTGCATTTCGCTGGGGCGGTGCCCTGACTGAGAACTAGGTCAGCTAGCCCGGCCCCAACGAAATACACGTGTATCGATCGAAACGCTGGCTCGGCGCTGGCGTAGCGCTGGCATGGCTTCGGCACTCTGGCGGGAGCCTTATGGTTATAATACAACCTGAAAAAGTACCTCGTATGGTTATTGAAATTCAACGAAATTCGTTGAGAAAAAGAAGACTTACCACTGATTCAACTTTCGGTTGAGTACTCTTGAAATACCTTGTGAACTGCATTCAGTCTTCTTGCTGGTATGTTGCATTCTTGCGAACTTTAGTGACAATTTAGTTTCGAAAACGGCCATAGTGTTCCTGGGAGGAGCAACCAATGCCGATTATGTATATGACAGATGGCACATTCGCCAAAAACGACTTGCATGGTAGAGGAACGAACACCTCAATTAGGCACCTCTTCGCGGGCGCTGTTACTCCCGTCCTACGGTTGTGCACCGTGTTGGGGCCATTCGTCCGCGGAGGCGGTGCCTAATAGGGGTGTTCGTCCTCCATCCCGACTTGCATTCGTGGGGGTCCCGCAAAGAGAATCGCAAGTGCAAAGTGCCGGGTGGAGGACTATATGTCGCCGAAAAAGGGCGGTCCCTGCGGTCCTTTGCGACAAATACGCATCTTTGTACATGCGCGGACATGCGTTCCTGCAGGGAATCCGCGCGGGACTCTTCCAAATTCGGCGACATATAGTCCTCCACCCCAAAGTGTCTACTGCACGTTTGCCAGTGAAAGGTTTCTTTCGCCTTTTTTCTCTAGCTTTTTGTAGCAGTTTAGTAAGCACGATACTTTCAGGATGCCGATGAGACTTCGCTCAGATAAAATAGTCGGAGATCTCGTTCGTAACAATGACACAAGCACCAAACTCCGCAGAAAGCGGGTACCCCGTGTACCCTTCCCGTTTTTTGAGCTTCCGCCCGAGTTGTGCGTTCGCATATTGCGACATGTGAGGAAGGTTTGTTCATTAACTGCTTCCAAAATTTGCATCATTCGGTCTAATCAATCCTCCGGCGCCGAGTAGTCCGCATGTCTTAGGGTTTTGTTTTGAAGAGTCCTGGTACGTGCAGGGCTCCGCAAGATTGCGAGATGGTATGAGGTCCTAGACTACTTTAACGAGAACACCCTCCGCTTGTCAAATTCGCTTCAAGTGACTGAAAGCTGACATGTGATAGCAGAACAAAGACAGACGTGAAAGTTCTGTTGGCGTGTCGCATGAGCAATGGCCGTAGTCCAAACAGCCTTCTTGATCAGGCAAAGCCAATGAGACCGCAAAGCAGCCCACTTGCTGCCTCTGACGCCGAAAATGACGGGCTTTGAAAAGGGTGAAGGAAAGGTAACACAAGAGTGCTACTGACGTGCTTAGGCTGAATTTGGCAGTAAGTTTCACTTCTGGATAGGCGATTCTCCAGCATCAGTCACTTCGATGGGTAGTGCTTAATCTGGCAGCAAGATTTTGTGCAAAGTTCTTCCGCGGACTACTCGTCCTCGTGGGAATTGCTTTGTAGGGTTAATTGAGACATATACCTCCTGCTTTTGTATGAGGTGCATACATGTTGCAGTGTACGTTGTAGTTCTCTACCCCCAGGGTATCTAAGGTCAACTGCACGATCGCCTGGATCGCTGTAGGCTGAACGCACGCGAGCGTGCCTGCAATGCGGCCGCCGAGTACGAGCGCTATGATGGCTCATGCGCGAATGCCAATGTCAATCCGCAAGAGACGCACTCGGGGGCGTTCAGAGCGGTCGATTCCGCGCAGTCAACTACTGTATGTTTCAATCCAGAGTAGGCGAAACATTTCACGTGTAAGCAGCGCGTCCGCATCGCCGGGAGCTTTGCTAGCCCACTGAGCTGGCATTTTGCCAAGCAAAGACTAAGACGAATGAGGAGACGTGGACATGGGTTCATACGACGATCTACTACTGTAGCTGTGAAACGGTGCAAACCGTTGCGGAGCGGACGCGCCAAAATTCGCATAGAGCGGGTAGGAAACCACTTACCTGCATAGATCCCGCCTCTGTATCTGGTGGACGATTTGTATCGGCTTGCATGTTATGGCGCAGCAACCAACTGGCCTCTGTTTGGTCCTCGTGCAAAAGCATGCAAGCTAATGCAGGTCATTCGTTACGGTAGTGGGACAGATGCCTGGAGCTGCCTTCAGCGCATAGCAGATTCCCCGCGCCGTTAAAAGGCACCGTTCACCCCGAATGGAATCGATGAGATTTTGATGCGTAACAGTAGTGGGGCCCCCAACTGTACACTTGCCCAGCTCGCGCTGCCGAAATTGTTTCCAAAACGAGAACATCGCTTCGGATGACGTTCGCCACGTTGGCTCCTCCCCTTGAGTGGGCGTGACGTTCGTCCCGCCCATATGTGCTACAATCACAGCTCCAGAGAATTGGCGCTGCGGGTTCTGCAAAAAAGGAATGTCGGGGTTGCGGATTCTCACTTGATATTCGGAATCAGTGATGTAAGGCTCCTGAACGACAAAAACATGGAAGTCGAGATTTGGTTGGACGATGCCTTTGACTGTCGAGGCGCATGACCGTAGTCGTTTGGAGCAGTCTAACTAGCTGATATACCTCCAGCCGGCCGAGTTGAATATGGTTAAGGCCTCGGGCAGAGTTTACGCGATTTGATCGTCGCGATTGTCGCGACAAGACAACTGTAACAATGTCATTGCATGCAGATCTTCTTGCATTTCGGTTGTGATAGTTTTCTAACACGACTAATCGTGACTAACTATCACAACCGAAATACAAGAAGATCAGTATGCAGTGAACTCGTAACACATGTCTTGCGATTGAATCGCGGTGCAAATCGCGCGAACTCTGCCCGAGGCCTAAGATGACATTCTTTCTGTGCAATGGCAAACATCTTAGTGTATTGGATAGTTAGAATACCGGGAATATGAAAAAAAGTCCCAACAACTTTTGCATTTCTGAGAACCGGTTTCGGGGTCAAAACCTATAACAATAACTATGACATTTGTTTGCCCATGTCCCATCTCATAGCCAGCTCCCCATCAGCCGTAAAGCATGCTCAATTACCCCCCCCCCCCCACTTTGTAACAATCCCCAGCTACCGATATCAAAGTTTGCAAACTCCTAGGTTGAGAGTACTCGTTCCCGTGCTTGGGAGTGTAGATGTTTCCGTGAAATTCGCCTTGTTTGTCGGGCAATGAACGACATAATCGAGGAGAATCGAGCCACCATTGGGCCAATGCAAGTGCAGAGACTATTTATCGGACAAGTACGTTTTTTCAAAGCAACTCAGATTTGATCGGGATTTGAAGTGACGAGCTACATCATTTCAGCACCAAGCATTTGACCAGGGTCCCAAGCGTTTTGTGGTACAAGACGCTAGCGAATTACCTAGTCACTTGAGTTCTTGTGCACATTCTTACCTCCAACAGGCGTTCTTCTACAAGGTTAGCTTCAAAAAAAAATCTTGCAGAGAACTGGATTCAATACAAATCATTCAGGTTTCGCTCAAAACCCCCATGGTCGAGCACTTGATCAGAAAACTGCGAGAAAATCGTGTGCATATTCGTGGAATGATCTTTTACGGTGCTGTTTTCGACTGTGATAGAGACGTACTAGTTGATTTGTTCGAGACTTCAAGAACTGCTTGTCTGATCATGCTTGAGTGCCAGCTTCCTGATAATCTGGCAGAATTTCTCGCACGCCATGAGTTCATCGCCACGGTTCGTCTAGATGTGTTCTTATCCTTTGAGCAAATTCTATCTTTTTTGCAGATGAAATCGCATTTCATCGGATCCTTCGATAGTTTCCAGTATTATCATGCTACCATAATCGCATCACAAGATGATGAATGGCTCAAATGGTTTATCGAGGTTAGAATAGTTGTGTAAAAGCTAGTCCAATGCTAAGATGGTCGCGTCCCCCATGTACGCAGGGCGTGCGCGGGCGTACGATACATCGGGAAAGATGCTTGAGCATGAGATCGTAGCCGCGTCGCATCAAGCGACTGCCTACGTCGAAAAGCTTTTATAGTTAGGAGAAAAGGGAGCTACAGGCAAAGGCAGTGTTTGTTATAGGAAGTGGCTCGGCAGAAACTGTTCAATTTTTTCAACACACTTAAGCCTCCCGATGTGCTGAGTTGCTTGAAAACTTCACAATAATGAAGAATAATTGTTTGTTTGTTTCTGCTGTGCAGACCGTTGGGAGAGTTATGTTGGAAATTTCGCCCTTTGAGGAGCGATTGGCTTTCAGAACCAACCAGCCAATCGCTGCCGAAATGGGTGGAGTCTCCGCCCCTTGGCGCGAGCCTCTGGGAGGGGACCATATGCCGCTAGACTCCACCCCGCGCGGGTAGCTGGTACAAATCTGCACGCCTACGATGTGTGGAGCTGCCCGGTTTGCCGCAGATGTCCGTTTGGGACCACCCCTTTGCGGCGAGTATAGTCCCACAGCTCGAACTTCTGATCTTGCCCTTCCAGCAGTTCTTTGAAAGTGTTGGAAGAAAACCTAGCAGAGTGAGTTTGCCGAGCCACTTCCTTGAAGAAAAAACGATTCATAGCGTCTTATCGTCCTCAAAGACAGTGTCCGGGCAAAAACTCGATTTTTAGAAAATCCGCTTACTGGGGGTTATCCGCGACGCGAATTCAAAAACCCACTTTAGAAGGCGCGAAGGTGAGAACATGCATTTTTTAAAGCTTATAATCTAAAATTCGACGGTCCCTGCCAAGGCAGAGACGCAGAGTCGCTGCAGGACCCTACATTTCAACTGTGGCGGCAAGCTCAGACACTCGCTGCGGCCGCGGGCGCGCCATAATAGCGCTACAGTGCGGCCGGCGCGCCCTATTTGAGGCTGCCTGCGAGCGGCGCGCTTTAATTGAACCAGCAGTGCGAGCGGCGCGCCCTAGTTGAGGCTGCAGTGCGAGCGGCGCGCCATCATTAGCAGCCAGCGAGCGGCGCGCCTACTCGACACTCGGCACGGCGGCGCGCGCCATTACAGCACTGTATTGCGAACGGCGCGCCCTAGTTGAGAGTGCGAGCGACGCGCAAATTAATCAGTGTGAGCCGCGTGCCATGATATTTTCCGCATTCCCACACGCTGTAAGCACAAGCGATACCTGCGTGAAGTACGACGCAGTATTTTGGATGCTTTATCACTAATTCATTGAGATTATCGTTGTTTCGCAATGGAGTTGTCTCATTAACACAAGTGGGATTCGTCTAGTTCTTCCACTGAGAGTCAGTCTTCATAAGCACTGCGAATAGGTGCCGAGTTTGAATTCAAATTTGAAAATTTGAATTCTTGAATTTTTGAGATTTGAATTAAATTCAAGGTTTGGAAACTTCCAAGTTCATATGAAATTGAAGCCATTGTTTGCCTGAAACTGAAGGTTGTCAACAGATCTACTACAGATTCACCGTGATTCGCAGTGCTTCAAATGCGAATGGCAATTTTCATACCGTACGAGCGGCGTGCCATTATCGTGTGGCGCGCGTCCCATCTACTCACGGCGCGCGTGCCACCTACTCGCGGCGCGCGTTCCAACTACTCGCGGCAAGCGCGCCATTTGACGGCCAGCGGCGGGGGACATGAGGGGCAGCACGCTAAAGCGCGCGCCGCCGCAGCGAGTGTCTGAGTGCGTACTCTGCCGCATAGCAGCAATTCGGACAGCTCGGAGGACCCCGCCCCAAGGCGTAAGTTTCCCCACTTTCCGACCGCTTTTCTTGCTTTAGATCGAAAGATATAATCGCTCTTGCACGATGCTGTGTCTGAGAGAGATCACTTTCGCATGACAGTGGAATCCCAAAACCCCCACCTTGTCCGGGCACTGCCTTCAATCTCACTCTATTGCCCATAGTCTCAGTGCTGCTGCAAAATGTAAAATTTTTGATGAGTGCATGCTTTGATCGTGAAAATAACTCAACTTGAACGAATTTCAGCTCACATTGCCATCTGTGACACCACCCGATCCATTTGAAAATGAATACGTGTGGCGTATTTTGTGGATTAGACATGAACCGTTGAAGAGTGTGGCTTTGAATATGGATTACTGTATATACGTATTCATGTTTGATTCTGGCGTTGTTTCGTATTTCGAATCATTCAGTTTGGAAAGCTCTTATAGATAATCAGGCTTTTGTCATTCAAATTCAAAAACTAAACTTTCTTGAGTATTTTCTTACACATCTTCTCTTCCTAGCACGCTGCGTGTATAAGTCTGGTTATGCATCCTCACTTAGCGTTTATATGTTCAGACATTTCACTCGGAATTTAGATGAAATGGAATTTGGAGAAAGCTGCTGTTCACATATTTGCTACGAAGGACGCCTCTTGAAACTGAAAACATATATAAAAAAAAACTTTGCTTTTCAGAAGCGAACTATGGGTAGGTTGTAATCTACTGAACTGAGACTGAAGTGCTTGCTTGCCAAAAATACTTCCGCGTAAGTTTGTGGAATGGTCTTCCATTCATCTTTCTAACATCCATGCAGATAAATTCGGTCCTTATTTCTTATTCATACTTTATATCACCTCTCTTTGCTTCATTATCTGATCACTCAGTATGTGCACTTGACTTCGCGACAGCTTTGTTTCTATACTTTCCGTTGCGTCTTTATATTTTACATCAGTCATCGAAAGTTTTTGGTAGAACGAATTTTAGATCGTAGATTTTACCATTTTCGATTCCTTAAAGTTTTTGGGATATAATCAACATAAATCTTTTTGAAGCGTCTCGAACTGTACCCGCGAAATTCGAGATTTCATATTCCAAATCCTTAAAACTCATTTGCTTGTTGAATACATAATCCATATCACGAGATTCAGGTCAGGATTTCAACGGTAAAAGAGTCTTTGCCGTGTTTGTCTCTGACTGTGAGATAAACCTAAAATTCGGCGGCATTGTTGAAAATTTTATCAAAAAACTGTAAGAAGCTATGGGAGAAAGAAAAAAATGGCTTTGTATCCTGTAGGGTTCGCTCTATCCACTTTTTACATGAACAGCTTTGTGAAATCAGTATAATAGTTTGTAAAAACGAAAGTTGATCATGGCAAAAAGGGGCAGGTTAGGGTGATTCTTCTGGAGCTTTCTTTTGATCCAAGGCACTGCATTAGAAACATACATAGCTATTCAAAGGAGAATGAAAAGTACAAAAAGTTTTGGGATTGTGACAGCTTAAAAAAGCGTATGTGTATGCCAAGCATGCAAACATCTCTCCATGATATTTTCATTTTCTTACTATTTTGTCCTTGAAAAATCACGTTATCGCTGAAACTTGTTCAAATAAATGCATGAATATTGTGGAGTTACGTAGATGAAAGCTTTTCTTCACCTTACACTTGGAAGCTGAGATTATTTCTTTTCCAAGAAGCTGAAGCGGAACTTGGATTGAGAATTCTAACAGCGCTGAAAGGTAAGAAAAGCGATTCTATCTGTAAAGATAAATTACGTCCCAATACATCAGTAGGAATAGGAATAATTTCATCAAACTACCTCCTAGAATCCTCATTTTGAGTACACCTCGGTTCACTGTACAGGGTACCTCATGATTCTCGTTTACAAATGCAAATAGGTAAAATAACATTGCCAATATTCATGCATTCTTCAAAGCACATTAATCAAGACCTAGAACACGTAACACTCGAATTCAGAGATTTTGACGTCTTGTCTCAAGACTAGTGCCTGACAAAGATCGGAACAAATTTTTATATATAAAGCTGAATGTCTGTTTGTCTGTATGTCTGTCTGTATGTGTGTACGTATGTTCCGAATAGAAAATTCCATTTCTGAACCGATCGGGACCAAACTTGGCACACATACACTTCGGGCCCCCGCGGGTGTCATAGGCTACTTTTCGTCATCGATCGATATCGATTTTATCGATTTTTTGCAGAATTTGAGCTACGGGGCTGGGAGTTGGCACAGGGGGGTAATCGAGCATGCTGATTACGAATATAATAATGACAAGGCCGGGCGGAGCCGGGTAAGTCAACTAGTACTATTATAATGAACATCACAATACCGCATAGGCGGTGGTAATTGTACTTTCTTTCTTCGAAGGTAGCGAGGCAAAGAAAATTTGGCGCTATTCGGCTATCCGGGCCCCAAAATTTTTTTGCCATGGATTTCGCTCAAATTTGGCCCAGAGGGGTTATCTGATATGATGATCACGAATATCGCCTTTTCTCCGCACAAAAACGCCTCCCTGCAAGGTTACGGTAGGTATGCGGTAGAGGGTCAAAATCATAGATTTGGATGAAACTTGGCCCAGGGAGGTTATTCGGCCCGCTGACGCTGAATATCACATTGGTTTTGTACCATAGCGTCATTTTCTCGGGTTACAGTGGGTATACGGTAGGAGGTCAGTCTCAAAATCCTCGGTAACTCCGCACAAAGGGGTTATTCGACATGCTAATTAGAAATGTCACACTTCCTCCGCACGAAAACGTCTCTCTGCATGGCTACGGTAGATTTCCGGTAGGGGTCAAAATCACAAGTCGGCATATGTATCTTTCCCCTGTGCTTTGCTTAGGCAAAAGCCGCAGCTGGGTGTGTAGCGCGCGGCGGCGGTCGTGTGTGCAAAGCTTCACGATCGTCCGAATCGCCGTACACCCGTTTTAAGCAGGACTATGTTTTACAATTGTTACCGTGTAGCAACCGTAATCCGAGAAAATGGCGCTACGGTTTAAAACCACTGTGATATTTGGCATCAACGGGCCGAATAACCCCTCTGAACCAAGTTTTGGGCAAATCCGTGATTTTGACCCTTTACCGTAGTCCTACCGTAACTCCACCGGATGGCGCTGTCGCACAAAATTAACATCATATTCGTGTTCAGCATGCCAAATAACCCCTCTAGACGGAGTTTCGGACAAATCCGTGATTATGACCCCCTACTGTATACCGTAACCCTGCAGGGAGGCGTTTTCCTGCGGACAAAAGGTGATATTCGTGATCAGCATGTCAGATAACCCCCCCCCTGGGCCAGGTTTGAGCGAAATCGATGGCAAAAATTTTTTGGGGCCCGGATAGCCGAATAGCGCCCATGTACGGTAACGAAAATTCTCACCACTCTTTGTCTTGGGAATTCTTCTTACCAACACAAAGGGCACAAAAATTCTTACAATGATCTGAAATTCTGATGCACATTTGATGCCAGTTATATTTACCATCCTTTTGAATGTGCTGAATATTCAAGGCTCAAACAAAACTCTTCCATCTTTTCGAAGAAACGATTGAATGAATGCCCATCGCACTATTTCAAAAAAAAATCTCAGTAAGTACCTTGCCGTGCAACTTGGGGTGGGGATTATAGTACTGAGCGTACTGAGCAGTACTGAGCGCAAATCTGTCACCATACTCCTCTCACACATCCGAAGCGGTCAGTTGTTGCAAGTCCGCGCAGGACCCCCCTTCTTGATGACATATAACGGGTGGAGGACATTAGGGATCGTTCATACCGCGCACAAAGCGGACGAAGGCGGACGAAACCGCACAAAGGCGGACGAAGGCGGACGAGCCGGACAAAGCCGGACAAAGGCGGACGAAGGCGGACGAAGCCGCACAAAGGCGGACGAAGGCATGTGTGAGTGTGTGTGTGTCGAGAGAAACGAGACGAGGCGTGTGTGAGTGTGTGTATGTGTGTGTCGAGAGAAACGAGACGAGACAAGACGCGCCTTCGTCCGCCTTTGTCCGGCTTTGTCCGGCTTCGTCCGCCTTCGTCCGCCTTTGTGCGCGGTATGAACGATCCCTTAGGTCGCCGAAAAAGGGCGGTCCGGTCATGTGCGACAAATACGCACCCTTGTACATGCGCGGACATGCGTTCCTGCAAGGAATCCGCGCGGGACTCTTCCAAATTCGGCGACCTAATGTCCTCCACCCACATATAGCCGTCCTCCACCCTACGATTTGTGTACTATCACGATGGGTGTTTCAGTGAATATTTTTTCTATTGCCGTTTTTCTAAAAACCTCTTGTCACCAACACCCTATTTAAACATTAGCAAATGTCGTTGTGTCATATACGTCAAGGAATTTTGATTTCAAATCTCGTTCGCGTTTTATGGGCTGTGTAGACTGTTCAAAATCCTTGACCTATCCGGCTCCAGAATCACTCTCTGTTGAGCTTGTCTTAGTAAGCTGATGATTGAAAGTTTGTAAAGAGATCTACTATCAGAGGGTTTTCTGCTTTAGCTGAACCAAGCTGATCTTCGTTGCTCTACGATTTTGTTAGATAAAGTTCCTTCGTTAGGGACCCGTCATATCTCGCCGAAAAAAGCCCAAAAGCGCTCTAGAAGTCCAAAAGCGCTAGAAAGAGCCGGAACGCCCCTTCGTGCGCAAGTTTGGCGCTAGGGCATGTGTGGTGATTTCGCAGTTGAGTAATGTCAGAATTCTACGAAAAGTTCGAAGCCACGTGGAACAACGTTCCGCCTTTTTCTGGCGCTTTTGGGATTTTTGGGCACTTTTGGGCTTTTCTCAGCGGAGTATGACGTCCTTTAGACTGCTGTTGTTCCATCAGATCTTACAAACATTGCAAAATTCAGAAGTCAAGCTGTTGAAAAAATTGGTTCAAAAGCTCTTATGATAAACATTGCCGAGGAAGTTATGATAAACATTGCTGAGGAAGTCAAGTTAACGCAAAACATCATGACTCACATAGGCGACTGGTTCGGGTCGCAAGGGTAAACAGTCTGAAAACAGGGGGGGGGGGGGGCAAGTGTGCCCAAATTAAGACAGAGATCTCGACAACCGTTGCCCTACTGTTGATGCCAGATGGGGGTGCTCGCGCTCCTTATGGAGTGTGATGGTATGCGTATTGCACATTCTGCTCGTCACCTGGCTGCTTGTAAGGTTAACGCTTGCTCGTTTGATTTTCCTTTGTTTCCTTGTCTCTTTTGCTTTGATTGGATATGTATCAATGTATTAGTCATTAATACGCATCTCTAAAGTTTGTTCCACTAGAAACGGTCTCACTTTGGAGTTACGTAAAGGTGCCGTCGGTTGCCGTGGATAGTCTGCAGACCCACATATCAAATGCAAATGACTCGAGGATGCTTTCAGGTATGGCGACGAAACCTCGCTCAGATAAAGGGCTTAGAGAGGTCGTTCATGCTGAAGTGACCAGTAAAACCTGCGAAAAGGCAGGAGAACTTGTGCACTTTCCGTTCTTTGCACTTCCAGTCGAGCTGTGCGTACGCATATTGAAATATGCGCGGGAGGTTCGTCCATTTCTTTACTTATGGATATCATGTCACCCTCTTACATGACCGATACCATATTAATGCGAAATACGCCTCAGGTGTACACCTAACACAGTCTTACTAGACGTGTTTATCTCAACAAACGGAAACAACTGCAAATATATCAAGCCGGCAAAAGAAAACAACAGACACAACAAGAATGAGATTGGAGCCCAAAGACGTGGTGGCTCGCTGGTCGTAGGTTCTTCACTGACTCGCCAGACTCCTCCTCTGCTTGGCATAGTTGCGCGTCGAGCTATCGTTGTGCCATCTGTAAACAAAGGGTATGGGAAAGAAGAAAGCGTACGGTATTATACAAGTGATAATGGGAAAAAGGCAAAAAGGAAAAGAATAAATGTAGGTTTACATACCGGATATATACAGATATATACTTCTATTTACACTTTAAACATTTGGATCGCTGGCTCTTATAGACCCTGTCCAGGCAAATCTGGGCATATGGGTTTTTTGCCTGGAAACTGATGAGGAGGCTCTAGCTCACTGCCCAAACCGCAGCGCAAACGATTCATTCACCTAAAAATTCATCCCAACCACTCCGCGGCTGCGCCGTGACCGTCACTCAGGATGACTCCCAGCGCGAAAATATAGGTGTTAAAGTAAGCGAAGTCGTTTCTCGAGTTAGGTAAGTGCCAGAGTAAGCGAAAATTTTGTTCAGCTTCGTTCAGCTGCAGAAGGCGCGCAGAATAATGTCTGCTTATCTTTACTGCTGCTAAAGCCTGCTTCAGCTGCAGGTCCCGCGCAGAATCAACGTTAATTCTGTGCGCCTTTTGCAGGTGAATGAAGCTGAACAAAAAATTCGCTAACCCTGGCACCTACCTAACGGTCACGGCGCGGGCGCTTACTTTCGGGACTAATTTCTCAGCCGTGAATGAACATTTTGCGCTGCCCTTAGGCAGTGCCTCAGTTGGGACCCTCTCATCAATTTCCTGGCGAAAAACCCATGCGCCCCGATTTGCCTGAACACTGCCCTTTGTCCTCTATTATTTATTAGTAATGCAGATCATTTCCTGCGTTTGCCTAGTCGTAAAAGAAATCAGAAATCTCATTGTGATGGTAGGTTGTAATTGTTCTTTGATTTTTAGGACGGTGAGAAATTCCGTGAAACTCGCCTTGTTTGCCGGGCAATGAATGACATCATCGAAAGTAATCGAGCCATCATCGGGCCAATGCGTCTGCAAAGGTTGTTTGTCGGGCAAGTATGTCGTTAAAGCAGTACTCAACGTCTTTTTCAATCCGGGATAGGCAAAGCTTCTTCTGGAGCGTCCGCTTCGTGAGGCATCGTTTAGACCGCGCCAGTACCCGCCGGTACCCGTCCGAACCCGCCTGAACCTGCCGGAACTGAAGTACGCAAACGAAAATATGAATTGTCGATCACTTGCGGCTAATATGTACACAACGCGCACGATATCACGCGTGATCCAGTATGCCAATTTCAGGCATGGATGTAGGCTGCTGCATGACGAAGGCGCATTATCTTTGAGCACGTACGTTCATTATCCGCAGAGCGTATGAGGCTCAGGATTTACAACGGTGAAGATACGAGCGCACTGCGTTCGTGCTCAACTAATACTGCTTCTGCATCTTCGTCATGCAGCAGCCTTTATCTACTTTGCTTCCCTCATTTGGCAGGTTCAGGCGGGTAGGAACAGGTTCAGGCGGGTTTGAACGGGTTAAGGCGGGTTGGGCGGGTACAGGCGCGGTCTGAACGATGCCCGAAAGCTTTGTGAGCACGGGCTGGCACTTTGCCATTGAAAGACTAAAGAGAATTAGGAGACTCTGACGCGGACACTATAACAATATGATACAATGCCTTCGCGAAGAAGCGCAACCGTTGCGTGGCTGACGCGCGTCACAGTTTCGGCCTAGGCGGATTGAAACAGAGAGAAATGATAGGAAAGTGAAGTGATAATCAAATGCATCTTTTTAGCATAGTGCGTTTGACCAGGGCCCTAAGCGTTTTGTGGTGTCAGACCTCAAGAAACTACCTGATCGTTTGAGTTCATGTGCACATACTTCCATCCAGCAAGCATTTTTCTACAAGGTGAGCTCAGTACAGGAAAATGTTTTCATGTTTTATACTAGTGAAGCAGTAATTGAGGCGGCGTGGCGTTATACTACAAAGACCTCGCCGCCAAAGCTCGCCGCCATAGTCGGCACGCTCACCGAGCTGGCTTACTGTGTTCCGCACCCATTTTGCACCGGTGAGCCTGAGCCATGAGGCAATCGCGCGAATGCAGCCCCTTCCTCTGTCGCGGTGCGGCGTCGCGCGCGATGTCGCGAAGACAAGAAGTTACATGAAAATACTCAGAAAATAATGCTCTTTCAGATTTTAACGTGCGGTATCGTCCGTCGCGCCGCATAAAGTGAAAATTTCAGAAAAATTTGTTAATCTTGTTTTTATTTGATTCATGTTCCTTTATATTTCCAAATAAAAACAAAAGATTCGTCTGGAAACTCTGTAGTGTTTCTTCAGTTTTCTTTTTTTGTTTCGCGTTTGTTTGTGCCATGGTATAGATACTTACAGGGCTTCTAAATTGCAGAGTCGTCTGCATCAGCGGTCGCGCGACCGCTGGTGCAAAAGACTCTGTAGTTTAGGAGCCCTATAATTGTCACTGCAAGCTGTGACCTGTGGCCTAGATTGCAAGTTGAGGTGAGTAACACGGCGATGATGACCTGCGGACTTAACTTATTAGGACAAAGTAGGCACCTGATGCCAGATTTTCCTTCCTCAATTTTGCTTGAAAATGAACATGAATCAAATAGAAAACAGGAAATCAACAAGTTTTTCTGAAATTTGCACTTTATGCGGCGCGACGGACGATACCGCACGTTAAAATCTGAAAGAGGAATTTTTTCTGAGTATTTTCATGTAACTTCTTGTAAAATTCGCGATATCGCGCGCGACGTCGCAACGCGACAATGCTGACTAGGCTGCGTCCGCACGATTGCCTCATGGCTCAGGCTCACCGGTGCAAAATGATTGCAGGATACAATAAACCAGCTCGGCGAGCGTGCCGACTATGGCGGCGAGGTCTTTGTAGTATAACGCACGTCCTCCGTAATTGAAGGTGCTAACAGCATGCGCGCGCTTTGGGACCGCACCGCGGTTTCCCGCTATTTGCACATTTTTGAATTGAGTTAACGATTCTTTACAGTCATTGTCAACCACGTGCTCCCTTTTCCATAGCAACTACGCATCCGCAGCGCTTGGGCATTGCGCAGCGTTCGCCGATCGATGCGGCTAATTTGAACGCTGAAACGGCGCGCCCGCGTACGCGACACTGAACTTTAGTGCTGCGCTTGAGCTTTAAACAGGGAGCACGTCGTTGACACGGACTGTATATATTAGATAGATAACGATTCTTCATATATTAGATTAGAATTAGATTAGATTAGATTAGATGTGGGAAACTGTTAATCGATTCAGGTCTCGCTCGATGCATCTACAGTCAAGCATCTGATTAAGGAACTGCAACGCAATCATGTGCACATTCGTGGAATGGTCTTCTACCGTGTTGTTTTCAAGTGTGATGGAAAATTACTGATTGAGCTGTTCGATGCTCTGAGAATCGTTTGTCTGATCGTGCTCGAGTGCCAGCTTCCTGGTAATCTGGCAGAATTTCTTGCACGTCATGAATTTATCGCCAAGGTTCGTCTAATTGTGTTCCTTTTCGCTTGCAAATTTGTATTTTTTTTTGCAGATGAAGTCGCATTTTATCGGTTCCACCGACAGTTTCTTTTATTATAATTGCATCATCAACTCAGAAGGTGATGAATGGCTCAAATGGTTTATGAAGGTTAGAATATTTATGTATAATCGGCATGAAAAGAAGCTGCTGTGCTTGTCAAAGGCCGTGGCTCGGCAATGGGCCACTCTTTTTTCCCAAATCTGGAACCTCACAACAGTGAAGGACAGCTGCATTTTTTACTTCCGCTTTCTGCCGTGCAGATTGCTTAGAGGACAGGGTCAAAGATTTGCGCCAAAGGAGCGACAGGTTTGTGGCGCCAACCAGCCAATTGCTGCCGGAATCGGTGGAGTGTCTCTGCCCACTCGAAATCACGGAGCCTGTGGCTTTCAGTTTCAGAGTGCGTAAACCTCTGAACTCGCCCTCCCAGTAGTTCTTTAAAACGTCCAAAAAATCCAATCTAAAAGAGTTAATTTGAGCCACTGCCTCTAAGAAAAACCGATCCGTAACATCTTATTTTCCTCAGTTTTGGACTATTACGCCATAATTCCATTGCTACTTCAGTAAAGCGAAGTTTTATTAGTGTTTTTTGTGCTCTGGTTGTAAAATTAGCTCGACTCAAACAACTTTCAGTTCACATTCCCATCCGTGATGGCACCACCTCTTCCTCTTGACGATTTATTCAATACGCGTGTTTTATGCAGCGTAGAAGAACGATTGAGGAGCGTGGCTTTGAATAGAGAGTCCCGTATTTTCGTTTTTAAGTTTCCTCCTGACAGTGCTTCGTATTTTGAATCATTCAGTACAAAATGCCTAGAGCTAGGCTAGTTTTTTTTGATCAAGCCATATATGTCATGCTAGCTTCCATAACGTTCACTTGTCTGCTTCTATTTTTATTATTATCATATCTTGTTTTATCATTCATTTTCTGACTGAGAGACGCAAGCACGCTTTGCGCACGTTTGGTCAACAAGTTCTTAATGAGTTTTAACGCGTTTTGATTGCTTATTACCAGAATTCCGTAAAGAACATGTTCGAAGAGCGTAGTTTAACGAGCTCAAACATGTTCTTCTACGAATCCTATCAGTAAATCAACCAAAATTCGTTAAATCCTATTTATGAACTTGTTAATGAAATGCATTCAAAGCGTGCTCGCTTCTCCTAGTCAGAGAATGAATGATACCTTGTTCGTTGTACTTACTACTGAAGAATATAAATACGATGTTACAAAAAGCTGTAAGGTTGAGAAATGATTGCAATAAAGTTCCTACCTACTATTCTTTAACATGTTACACGGCACCGTATAAAGATGATTAGTAAGAGATACAGTCTTAAAAGCGTTCTAACTGTTTGTTTTTTGAAACTCCATGAGGATGGATCGCAAAGCCGCACTGCGGTCATGCGAAGCGGTCTCACTTCATTTCTGCGCTGGGAAAAGAGGAGCCACTCTGGTCGACCGAGGACCTCTTTTTTTCAAACGAAATCTCAGGATTATAGACTCGCGAGAAATATGAAAAGCAACTGAATAACGCTATGCCCTTTCATGAAAAAATATATCCTTCCCAAAAACCTCTCAAACCACCACGCATATAAAATCCACTCCGAAACGAAGGCGGTCGCCCATGTACAAGAGGCGGGCGCGCGGACGAACTCTAATGATGAGAGGTGCTCGAACACTTCGCACCTGTACCGGCCCGTTCGTCAGGGAGGGATCAGCTTCCAGAGTTATTGGGTTCTTAAAGGCAGCGCCCAAGCAAGTCTGGACACATGGGGATCTCATGTGGATAGTAGTTTTCTGGCCCTAACTAAGCTACTGCCCACTGCAGCTAAGTAGTGCTCTAGTGACTTAGATATTCACCTCGAAACTGGACTCCGCGATCGTATTCCGCATGGATTCATGGCGCAAAGCGTGGATCCTGGCGCGAAACTGCCATGAATGCGAATACGATCGCGGGGTCCAGTTTCGAGGGGAGTACCTCAGCCGTTAGAGCACTACCTGAGCTGCAGCTTGGGCAGTGCCTTAGCTAGGGCCCCAAAAGTACTTTCCGCGTAAAATCCCCATAGGTCTAGTGAAGTGCTTGTCTCCCTGATCACCAATTCTTTCATTTAATATATTGTGCACACTGTTCAGCAGTTAATAAAGATCAAAAATCTCGCACTGAGCTTTATACATTGTTAGCTTCATAACACTATTTGGTTTGGATGTGCAGATATTGTTCTTAAACGATTACTTTGTAGCAGACGCTTTCTCAACTCGTCACGGTGCTTAGCGACCACCCTTCCCAAACTGCAGCCTTTCTATTGGTAACTTCGATAGATATTGTAAAGCCTCAGACAGCACGGACTTGCCAGTAATCCTACGCTGAAGCTCAGTTTTCACATCTCGGGTGACACTCGATTCAAGTAGAAGGGGGAGAGTGTCAGAGGCTCAAAATTTAGCGAAGGAAGCTAGGAAATCTCAACAACTCCGAGTATCTTCTTTTCTAAGCTTCCGCTCGAGTTATGCATTCAAATCTTAAGACATCTGTTGGAGGTTGGCGTGTCATTCCAATCATTTGTCAAATCTGTTTCGTTCATGTCAATCGAGGGCAAATCATAGCATGTTAGCATTTCCGAAAAGGAAAAAAATAAACATTCGAGTTCTGAGGGCATTGAAAAGAATAGGAATCCTTAATCATTGGGGTAGCTAGTAAGCGAGCAAGCAGTTCCGCATTCCATAGATCGCTGTTCGTATACTTTACGAGAATAATTACTTTACCATTTGAATAAAACAGTCCAATGCAACTCGAAAAGGTTAATATTGGCAGTTAATCTATATTTAAATTTTAGTTACCACTCGACAGTCAAGTATTGAAATTCTTCGATTTTTGAACTACATAACAATCGAATAATTGAAATTGTTTTTTATTTTCTTAGATATCGTAGTAAGATTTAAAAGGCATTGTAGTGGTGTCTTTTTCATCGTTAATAACTCTCTTCCCACAAGGTCTTCTGCAATGGTCAAGCACCATTCAGCAGAGAAGGTTTCTGCTTAGAAGTACAGTATGGAGCGAACCACTCATTTTTCTTTATTAATGCGGAAGGAGACTATCCAATCAAAAAATAAAGAATAAAATCAAAATATTAGTTTTCAGAAAAGGCAGGGCAGGCAAAGTTGAGATTCGGGACATTGGTGAAAAGAATTGAAGTGTCGCCAATTCGTTGACCGCACGGACTGCTCAGACGCTGCAGACCACGCGCGGCGCGGCTGAATTCTCGCGAGAGCACGACTTGTACAGTCGGTTTCATCCCGGATTAGGCGAGACATGTTACGTGGAGCAGCGCATGCGCATCGCTGGAGGCTTCGCGAGCGCATAGCGATGGCATTTTGCCAAGCAAAGACTAAGGAGATTGAAGAGACGCAGATATGGGTTCTCAGCACGACAGGACATACTGTAGCTGCGAAACGGCGCGAGCTGTTGCGAGGCGGACTCCCGCCAATCCAATTTCCGCCTAAAGCGGGTCGAAACTTACTGTACAATGGCGGATTTGCACTGGGGCAAGCGTTTTACCTCGCGGCCCGTACTCTGCAGTGATTTCCACTCCGTACAGTCAACGAATCAATTATATTGTCGAGTTACTTGCGGCTAATATGTACGCATTGCTCACGATATATCAAGCGTGATCCAGTGTGCCACTTTCAGGCGTGGATATAGGCTACTGCATGACGAAGGCCGTATCTTTGGGCGCGAACGCCGTTTCATTAGCCGCAGAGCGCATGGGCGCAGGATTTACAACGGTGGAGATACGCGCGCACAACGTTCGCACTCACTAACTCTAATACTACATCTGCGCCTTCGTCATGCGGCAGCCTTTATCTCCTTTGCTTCCCCATTTGGCGGGTTCAGGCGAGTTGGGACAGATTCAGGCGAGTTTGGATGGGTTCCGGCGGGTTGACGGGCACAGGCGCGGTCTGAACGATGCCCGAATGCTTTGTGAGCACTCGTGCTGGCATTTTGCCATGAAAAGATTGAAGAGAATTAGGAGACACTTAGAAGACAACAGACACGGGCTCCTATAACAGTATGATATGATGCCTTCGCGAAGCGGTGCAAGCCGTTGCGTGGCCGACGCGCATCACAATTTCGGTCTAGACGGGTTGAAACTGAGTGTGAAACTGGTAGAAAAACAATGTAATAATTTACTGCATCTTTTTAGCATAGTGCGTTTGACCAGGGCCCTAAGCGTTTTGTGGTGTCAGACCTCAACAAATTACCTGATCTTTGAGTTCATTTGCACATACTTACATCCAGCAGGCATTTTTCTACAAGGTGAGCTTGAAACGGAAAAATGTTTCCATTTTTTATCTAGGAAACTGTTTGATCAGTTCAGATTTCGCTCGATGCATCTACAATCATTTGATTAAAGAACTGCAACACGATCATGTGCACATTCGTGGAATGGTCTTCTACCGTGTTGTTTTCAAGTGTGATGGAAAATTACTGATTGAGGAATGAGAAGGCCCCGGAACGACAAACACTTAATGTTAGTACATTTTTATATCTTCTCTGCTGTTTTGACGAGGAACATGCATCGATTTTGCACCAAATAAATAGAAAACAAAATATGTTACTTCAGAAAAAACGCTTGGGGTCAGTCCGCAAACAAATTCCGCTCCCCTGTGTTCCGCATTTCACGACTTCGATGGCACCCAATTTCCACTTCTCACTTAGCAGTGAAAAAAGAATTGATGTATTAGGCACAGCGACTAGAAGAACACATCCTTCACGAAAAGAAGTTATACGGGACTTCGAACCGGATGTTAAGATCATAACATATTGTAGTGGATGTGAATGAAGTAAGTTTAGTGCGTTTTCTTAAAAATATCCCAGCAAAACAGGAATTTTGTGTTTTCATAGCCTTCTTTGTGCTAAAACGAGGTTTTCGTGTAAATTTCCATAGAATTTAGAACAATATATTTCGGTACTTCAATGGGACGATTAGTGCCTTTTCTTAAAGTGAGAGCGAATATTTTTTAAAGAGCGAAGCAGAAATCAAATCGAAAAGTATAACTAAGCTCTAATAATATAACGTATCTGTAAATTACATATTTTGAGTCCATCTTTGACTAAGTACATTGTGTTTGATATTACTCTGATAGGACATTGATAGAACAGTTGAAGTAAAATATAATTATACCTGATATCTCTCCAAAGCACATTACAATCTTTCATGATGTGAGGTTGGTAGGTAACATACCAAAAATTTACCGAAAGATCCATGATACCGACCTCCAGCGAGTAGAGTATCATCCACAGGAACCTCACGAACATAAAAAAAGTTACTGTAGCAATCACCATCTTCACAACCTCTCCAGACTGACTTTTGTACACATGCTCTGCGATTTCTATTAACTATCACGAGATGGCAAAAATGAACGGTCGGTCGTGAAGTTGTGGCGGAGCACGAGGAACAAAAACGTGAGAAAAAAATGTGAGTTCAGCTTATGAGGGAAAAACTTCTTTTCTGTGCATGTACAGATAGGTGGTTCACCATTCCTTGTTGAGATCTCGTGACAGAAAAGATCTTACCCTTACGAGATTGAAAGTACAATACATTTGTTCTCATCCTTAAAACTTGAGTACTCGAACGCTGCTGAAAAGTTATTCACTTAGATATGGGCGATTCATCGCACGCAAAGAGAGCCACTGCGGACGCTGTCAGCGTCGCTCGGACTGAACACACTCTCATTCATCAACCATCTGATTTCTCTCCTAAACATGGACTGTCATGATCGAACGCAATAACGCCCAGGTCTTCGACTATACTCTATGGTTGTCGAAAGAACAAATGTTTAGTATAACTGGAATAAACGAGTACACAACTATTCAGAAATCGCCTTTTATCAATTGCCTTCCTGATTATTTGACTGATTGATTTTTCGGATAATCTTTCGCTTGAGCGCGAATATTCGGCTTTACATTGGATTCCAAAATCTTACTTTTTCAAACTTGTAGCCGACAAAAGATTACTAGCCTAATGTGATCATTAGCCGTAAGCTCCCCTTGAAAGTTACTAGAATAATTCTAAGGTAATAGGATAAACACTCCGTTTTGCTCGTACAAAGTGAAGCCAGCATTTCTGGTTAGTAAGCTTTTGCGAAGTCTTTGTGACTGAACTTACCAGTGACCTAGCAGTCGCTGAATTGTGTGAAACATTCATTTAGCCTGCACTCAGAATCTTTTGCTGGTTCCACGCCTCTTTCTAGTGGTGATGATGGCTTTGGTTCAAGTAGGAGTGGAAAAGATTGTTGAGATTCTGGTAAGCGCCGCTTTTCTTATCTACGTGTAGCTCGTTACGACACAAAAGTCAAAGGCAGTGTCCGCGCAAAAATTCGATTTCAAGTAGATCCACTTATCGGGGTTATATGCAACGCTGAATCCGAAAATCCATATTAGAAGGCGCGAAAACGGCGAAAACATACGTTTTCCAAAGCCGCACAATTTGAAATTCGAACGGTCCCCACCAAGGCAGAGACGCAGAGTCGCTGCGGGATCCTACTTTTAGCTGTGACAGCACGCGTACTTTGCCGCATAGCAGAAATTCGGACAGCTGGGAGGACCCGCCCAAGGCGTAAGTTTCCCCGCTTCCCGGTCTTTTTTTGCTTTAGGTCGAGCGTTATGATGTCGCACTTGCGCGATGTTGTGTCTGAGGGGGCTACTCCCTCGTGGCCCTGAAATCCCAAAACCCCCATCTTGCCCGGACACTGCCTTTGAAGGCAGTGTCCCGGCAAACTTTCGCTCTTCGGTTTCTCACCTTTTCGGAGCCTTTTCGTCATGCTGAACCATATCTAGACTTTTCAACACATAGATTTGGCTAATGAGCTTTCTTCGAAGCCCTTTGTTTTCATAAAGGGCTTCGAAGAAAGCTTCGTCGTTCCAAATTACGCGTAAGTAAGCGCGATCCGCAACGAGGGGCGGGGTCTGGAAAACTTCTGAAATGGATTTTAGGCCTTCCACACGCGGATTACTTGGGGTGTACTATACGTTGTGAAATTCCCTTACCCATGACTTTTCCGAACGCAGCCTCGAAGTTGCTTTCATGGTGGGTCCTGCGAGGAACGCAAGTGAGGATAGGCGAGCAAGTTGTTTATGACGATGATCTGTCAGTGAAGAATTCACTGCCGTTTTCTTCTATGAACTTGTTGCCGCGACATTCTAAGTAAAACAAATGAATACTTTCAGGTACGGTGATGAGACTTCGCTCAGGTAAAGTGGTTGGAGATGTCGTTCATGCTGAGCTAACCAGTGAATCCTGCGATAAGCCAGGAGATTTTGTGCACTTTCCGTTCTTTGCACTTCCACTCGAATTGTGCGTTCGCATATTGAAATATGTGCGAGAGGTTCGTTTACTGAATGCTAATGAAATTTGGATCTTCGAACACGCCGAAAAAAAATCAAGTTTCGCATTGCAGTAAAGCGTAGGTCTAACTGTCCTTTTTGGTTTTTAGGGCGGAGGAAAATTCCATGAAACTCGCCTTGTTTGCCGGGCTATGAATGACATCATTGAGAAGAATCGAGCCATCATCGGACCAATGCTGTTGCAGAGATTATTTATTGGGCAAGTATGTCGTCAAGTACCTATGGTTTGTTTCAATACGGACAGGCGAAGCGTTACAGTAGAGCGACGCGTCCGCTTCGCTGAAAGCTTTGCCAGCACAGGTGTTGGCATTTTGCCATGCAAAAACCGAAGAGAATTAGGAGACGCAGAACGGGTTCCACTCACAATGTGTTTCAATGCCAATGTGATTCGGCGCGCGTTGCGTGGCGGACGCGTCTCAGTACAATCTCGGTCGAGGTGCCCTATATGCCCCCCCCCAACAAAGGCAGGGACCGTAATCAGACTCTTCGTGCCGGGACCCGAGCGCGCTTTTCTCACTGTCCTTTAAAGTTTCATTTTACGTCTCTGAGATCCAATTGCGCGCGATTTCCTAGTTTTTGCTGTACTAGCGGTCCAGCGAGCATATGTGAGAAATTCGGTACGAAGTCACCAAAACCTCGGTAACACCTTTTTGATGCCATAAGAGCTAGCAAAGTGTCACCTAGTGATGTTTGAATAGAAATTTTCCACTCGTAAAAAACGAAATTCAAAAAAATGGAACTTCAAAAGCATGGCGATCGCTTTGCCGCGCAGTTCGCACTCATCTCTAGATGCAAAGTCGCGGATCTTCATAGTTTTGGACTAAGCGAATGAAAGGGAGAAGCAATCTTACATCGGTCGCCTCGGCAACTCTTCGAGGAAAACTTGGCAAACTGCGACTTCTGATCGCTTCATGAACGAATGCACACACAGATTTCTTCCCTTGTTCATTTCCCGGTAGGAAAAAAATTCTCTTTGTCAAGTCTGGACCATATTGCCACCTCCATCTCTCAAAGGCATTTCGAACCAAAGTGCTTACAAGGGAACCTGTTTAGTCGAAGTGGAAGTTTTAAATAAGACCTATACTGCTTTGAAGAGCATTGGACACTATTCAAAATCTGCCTTCATTATCTGCCAAGTGCCTATGGAAGCTGAGTTACGGGCGTTTTCAGGTCAAGAAATTGAACGCGAACTGGAACAAAACCTATTGCTCGTCCAATGTCGAGGTTTAGAGCAGCTCTTAATGGATACATTTTAGATTTTGCATTCATTTTTCGATCCAGAAGACGGTCATAAGGCTGGGTTGATACTGATCCGTAAGTTCCGGAACAGTTCCAACACAGCATACAATTCGAGCGCTGTGCTGGAGCTATTCCGAAACTTGCAGACCAGCATGAACCCAGCCTAACTCCGCGTCTAGAAGCGCTGGGCAGATAATGAAGGCAGATGTGGAGCCAGCGTGCAGTACTCTTCAAAGTGGTATGGGCCTCATTCAAGAACGCCACTTCAAACACTCAGACAAACGGCGGGAAGTTCCGGCGAACATTGAAGAAAGTTCCGGCGGGTCACCTGGGGAACTCCATTGTAAGTTCGTGGGAACTCCATTCTAAGTTCCTGGGAACTTCAGCTCTGAAGCTCTCGGGAACTCCATAAAAGATTATAGTTCGCCGGAACTTCGTCCTCCAAAGTTCTCGGGAACTTTGCAAAAGACTGTAGTTCACGGGAACTTCATTAGTTGAAGTTCTGGGGAACTTCTTGCTTGATCCCTCGGAACCCCAGCTAATGACCACTTCTGATGCGATTGCTATAGAGAACATCTATATATTTATTAACGATGAAATGTACCAGTGGCGTACCGAGGGGGGGGCGGGGGGGGGGGGGCGCGCGCCCCCCCCCCGAGAACGGGTCGCGAAATTTTTGAAAGTTACTTACATGGGTTATAAAAATGTGCAAGTGATTTGTTTTTACTTGTAAATAATTAAAATAATTTTTAAAATTTTTTAAAAATTCATTTTAGCCTTATAAAAAATTTTTTTTCGGGGGCGTGGCTGACGCCACGCCCCCTTTTTCCAGATTTTAGGGGTCGGGGACCCGGAAAAATTTTGAGAAGCACCCCAAAAAATTTTTCGGAGTGCGTGGCTAACGCCACGCACCTTCTTTAGAAAAATTTTTTTGTCGCGCCCCCCCGGAGCCGAAATCCTGGGTACGCCACTGAAATGTACATATTTATTAACGATGACGTGTCTGTTTAACACTTAACATAAAGACTTCATCGAATAACTACAGTAACTGTACTAACAACTATACAGTACATATACACGTAACGAGTATTCATATATCAACACAAACATTGATAAAAGGATTGATATTGTTCTCACTGGCTGCCTAAGTTCTCAATGCTGACGTCTAGGTTTGCTTTCCAAGCCTCCGTGCTCATTGCCTCTTTGTCAGTGCGTCCAAGTCCGACAAGGACACCCTTCGATTTCTAAAAATATATATATATGAATAGAAATGGGAGGAAGCGGATTTTAGCATACCTTCGGTGGAACAAGATGACCTTCGTGGAGGCGATAATAGCGCACATCTTCCCTAAAAATAGAAACTGCCTTTTATGATGGCGTTATGTAGAAGTGGTGGACTTACAGCGCTTCAGCAATGCATGTTTTTGCGCTTACACTCCATTTTGACTTCTTTTCCAGCTTTGAATTGAAAACTTTTTCGCGTCCCTGCTTGTTTTCAGCTAACGACAACCAGAAACTAAAAAAATTTTTCAGCGCCTAAAATGCTTATTGTAGATATAGACAGCACCCGTTCTGTGAATTTTTCAGCAGATGCAGCCTCGATCCATAAAGTTCGCTGTGGTTCAGATCCAAAGCGTCCAAAATGAACTCTAAATGTTTTGTAGCTTAACCCCTTTCAGATGTGAATTACCTTTACCTGTAAGCCCATCAACAATGGAGTCGGGTAGATTGATTATATCCGTCCTTCGAGCAACTTTTGAAACACGATACGCGTAATCCCAGATATCAGAAGGATCGGGTGCGCAGATCTAAGTGTAGGTTATGTGGTAGTCATTTTGTATCCGGAGTTAAATACGCACCTCCTTGAACAGAGTTCGTAGAAAGTCGATGACTTTGCTGGTGACGTCGTTCTCTACTCTTTTTGGAGCTTTCGCAGGAATTCATTCAAATTTAGTTCCTACAAACAAAATTCGGCGATTTTTTGCAACAGTTTGTGTCTAAATACCTTGAATGGCGGCTGAGCGCGAATGAGGTGGTCTTGTCTCAGGTTTTCGTACTTAAATTCGCTTGACGTGTCGGGGAGAGGGCGTTTGACACTGAGGATCTGCTTCAGTCTGTCTATTTCATCCTCCAAAGCTCTGTTTTTTGTCAGAAGCAAGTTCATCTATATCGCGAACGTTTTTCATTTCTTTTTAAAGTAGTTGTAGTGAATCTCGCCTCGACACGATGCGTGATCGCTATTTCCACGAGCAAACGATTTGTTTCGGCGGTGTCATAGAAGTTGCCTAATCGCGAGCGCTCGCACTTTGCACCACACGAGAGATATCTGCCATGTCGAACTGTCTGACTGGTCGAATGCAATGGTGCAAGGTTTCCTATGAAGTTCTACTTTCGAAGACCACCGCCACGGAAACGCTACGTTACCTGCATGGACACAGAATTCAGCGATCCTCCTCTTGCAAGCATTGCGTACAGAGCTCCGGAAAAATCGGAGCTACCCACTTCGCGCGCAAGACAGCTTCTTACAGCTTCTAAAAATCTGCCAATTTTCTACTGTGCCGTTTGTTACGTTTGACAGACCTAGCGGCTCGGACAGCGCAGGTGGTGGTGTCTGCGGTGGTGCGCGTGCAGAGTGCGCGTTCCTTTCGGAGTCAACTAAATGGAACGCATTCACAGCGTTCGTACGCAAGGAAATTTTCACTCACATTGAAGTGGTTGCGATGGAGTTCTACACTCCTCCGCATAGTCGAGTGACATGTCGAACGGGCTTTCTACATCGTAATCCTATGAAGAAACTAGCCTCAGATTTATCCAGTCATTTAATATCAATCTATAGCTTATCAACTTTTTTAAAGCTGGTGTTACGGAGCTAAAAGTGAGTACGCAGGGAAACTTTTAAACTCTGACATGAGATGCTAAGAAGCTTATTACTGTAGCGAGCACCCTCACTTACCCCTGGGTCTCCCGCCCCGTGGCTTTGAGCTTTTTTAGAAAAGTGAAAAACTGATAAAAGGCACTATCTATTTCGTGATCAGTACCCTCACCTACCCCTGAGTAGCAACTCCCAGCTCCCAACTCCTAGCAACATAGTCGTAAAAACATTTTTCCCCACTCATTCCCTCCCCTTTTCCTTCTATACTCATAAAGTATCTATATCAACCATTACTGTTGAGCGACTTCCACCCCCTTCTTATTCTAACCCCAATATGTGAACATACTACAACTTACTCTATTCGTGGGCCTCAGTGGACGAAGTTCCGTATACGTACGCCTCGGTGTAGATGATGACGTGGAAAGCAGGTTTTCATCGGCCATAGTAACTAAACATACTGCAATGATAGAGATCAAGTTGACATGAAAGCTAGCTCACCGGATTTTCTTTCGCCACTAACTTCCGTCGGAATCTGGAGATGAGCTTTAGCAGGCAGAACTAGACGCAAAGCTCAAGTAAGATGCGGAGAGTACGCTCACAAGTGATGCACAGCACAAAGCATAGTACAAAGCAAAGTTTCAATGACAACAATTACAATACTTGTAGTTCTACAAATCTATATGCGCAACGCAAAACTCCTACATCTGATATCGATGAATACGGCTGGCCTAACAATATCAGTAGTATTAATCCACTTTAAACCATTGGAATGTACCTCATGGAAGTGTGTATTACGTATATTGTATTGTTGTATTGTTGTTATTGTATTGTATTGTTCGAAAATGTTTGGCAAATCTTCGCTAAGAAAAAGCGCCTATTTGCATGAGCTAGTAGAAACACGACAAAAACAATCATGTCCTGCTGTTTGATCCTATCTGAAACAAGGTATTGATTTGAGAGAAGAAAGTAGCATTTTGGTTAGTAGTGATGCCCAGCTACGTCTTTTCAAAACCTTTGACAGGGAAAGGTACTTGTCTCATTACTAGTAGAGCTGTCAACACAGCGAACCATACTAAAGCAAGGGCCTTTTCC